AGACCCTTCATGTAGGCCAGAGGTTTTGTGTGAGGTGGGCCTCTACAGGGGGGCTCAAAATAGTTTCAGGGTTCTAAGCTTTGTTTGTTGCAAATAAGAGTTGGTGCGAATGGTCTCTGCAGGCATTAACTGGTTGGTAAAAATTATTTTATTTATTAATTATTCGAGAGTGGTCATGTTAAGTGAATTTTGCGCATGATCCTCAGGTCTTTTAAAAAAGATACTACCCCAATGCCAGAGAAAACACAAACTGATTTCAGCTTTGGACTTACAAGGCTTTTTCACACCCTCCATACATTGTTTGGATAAAAATAGCTGTGACATAGTTAATAAGACTCACAGGGCAAGGCTGAATACTGCTGCTTTATGACTAACATAAGTAAACATGCCTCAGGCTGCAAGCTACAGTGTCACGGACTGATGCACAAAACTAAAATCAGGTTTGAATGCAGTTCAGTAAAAAAAATTGTTTCACAACTGCTTTAATAACTAAGTCTGGATAAGAATCAACAGTGACAGGATCGATAAAAAATTAAACCTTTATCTCTGTGGGAAGATTTTGTTCTTGTGTTGGAAAGATGGGCATTTTGTGTCCAGTCACACATGAGTTGGAAATGCATGGACTTTAGAGTTGGACTCATCAATAATGGCTTATTAATAATAACAGCTTTTTAAAGACAGTTCTGGCTGTAGTGCCAGATGTGTCGCAGCTTGTTGACTTTGTTCAAACAGAGCTGAAGCCTACATTTGATTGCTATTTTTAAGTGTTTCCATTGAAAAGCAAACTGCACTTGGAATTATTAGTGTGTTTTGGCAAAAAAATGCCAGGATTCAATACTTCCCTCTCAGCTGTAATAGGGATTTACAGGAACAATGCCCCATAATGGCTACAAATCAACTCACATGAGAACCATAAACACCCTCCCAACCAAAACCAATGTACCCATACATAAATACCTGACAATCAACAATACAGACGTTCTCTAACCCACCAAGTACCAGTAAAGGTTCTTTATACAAGCTTTCACTATCAATTGTAACTTCCATTTATAAAATTCATATATTACAAAATAGTTTAATTGTGTGTTGTGTCACCCTGGTCACTAGCAACAAAGGAAAGCCAAGGTTAACATAAGAATGGTGTAGTGTGTACTACTGAACCAACGCTAATTCAAATTCAAGTAATGTAATGCTCTCAGTGGCGCCGCCCTGCCTAGAGGTGGAAAGTGTTTTGATTTTTTGTTTATAAAATAATTAATTAATAAATGAATAATAAAGTAATTACTTTTTTGTGGGGGGCTAGAAAGATCACCCTGGCAGTGCAGCAGCGCAGCCACTTGCTGACACAAGATATAATATATAATAATAATAATTTTTATTTGTAGAGCACTTTTCAAAAACAAGTTACAAAGTGCTTTAACAAGTGTAAAGACAATAATACCCAAAAGACAGTAATACAAAAACACACACAAAAACATGTAAATGCCGTATTTTGCTTGCTTTTTTTAATATGGATACAACACGGACTGCATGAGTGTAAGCGGGCATATATGGATAATACGGTGAAGCTAGCCATGCTAAGCAGAGTTAACATCGCTACACAGCTGGACCAAGGCCACAGGATTGGGGTGAGGAAACACAACGAAGAGCTGCATAAGAACAGGCGCGTGTGACTGTGTTCAATTCTGCGCGGCCACAATGAGACCGAATCCTTTGACAACTCTAGCGTTTTCTGTAGATGTTGTTGCCCTTGTCATTTTGCACAGTCTTTGATGTGCAAAACGACAAGGGCAACAACATCTACAGAAATCTATCACTTCTGGACTGCATGGTGTCAGTTCTTAAATATTACATTCTTGAGGAAGTAAAAAATGACCCTCTGCTATCTCTCTGCTTAACTCTGTAAAGAATAGGTAACATCTGCACATAAGGCATACTTGAACTTAAACTTTACATGTTACATCAACGAGGAGAACACCAGTGGTCGGCTACAGAGATAAGCTGTACAGTTTATAGGCAGCTCTGAAGTTAAGATGTGGTTATTTCCAGTTGTGGACAGTAACTGAAGTAGGCCTACTGTACTGTCCAAATTAGAGGTATTTGTACTTTACTTGAGTATTTTATTTTCATGCCACTTTCTATTCTTTGTGTAAGAAACTTTTTAACTGGCACTGGTTCCCTGCAGTTTGTGTTAAATTGTATTGGGAAGCTGACTGGATATGGCATAGCCCCACCTAAAATATTTTTCACCAGCTGCCACTCTATGCTCTATTTACATGTAAAATCCAAACAGTTTATTAGCAGAGATGGGGACTTGAGTTAGTGACTCGGACTCGAGTCGCACTTAAGTCGCACACACAGTTACTTCAGACTTGACTTCAGACTCCTCCTCAAAAGACATCAGACTCGACTCGGACTCGAGGTGCTGAACTCGTGACCAATGTTTATTTTTAGGAAACGTCTGATGAGCTTGTTGTTATTCCCCTCCCTCCGTTACCTATACCCTGCCTACAGAACACTTGGTATCAGAATGCGCTGAACACAAAATAGGTTAGTAACCTGAGTTTAGCGAACATGTTTAGTTCAGCAGTGGCTGTCTAACGTTAGCTTACTTCTTGTTTTAACAGCGACCTATGGGACGTTAACTCCGTCTGTCGTTCGTTATGAAAAGATGAATGAGCGTTTGTTTGCTTGCCAAACCTGTGGTGGTTGTTTAACATAATCATTTACGTCCCGCTGGCTTTATTTATTAACACTTGTTGAAAACAGGTTACATGTTTTATTGTTGAACATGTAATGTTACAGTTTTTTTAGTTAAAATCACACTGGGTTTGAGAGTTGACTTATAGTAGTTAATAAGCTGTCATAACTGCATTGCACATTACATGGTTGTGCTCTGAAAGGTTACAGTTAAAGAATCCCTTATAGCTATGCAGTTTTATGAGCAGCCTGGACTGAACGCAGCAGGTGATACAACATTCATTATAACCACGAGAGACTTGAGACTTGACTTGGACTCCAGCTCAAAGACTTGTGAGCATCTGTGTTTATTAGTTGATTTGCTTTTAATGAACAATTAAAAAATACACAAATAATAACTATTGAGTTGGAAAAGACTATAACTGACCAATATGAAGAAAAATGACTATATTTCAAGTCTTCCCTGCAAAACCCCAATTTACATTAGGATGATATTGTGTGTGGCAGTTCTTGATCTTGGAATCAGTAGTTTGATTTAAAAACAAATCTTAACTCAAGTTCCACTAACTAGCTTTTTTCCAATGTTTAAATCACATCTGACCATCTTCATCAATAGAAGACATTTTTTTAACAACTGGGAAACATGACAAATTACTTTCCAAAGCTTTCAACCACAGCTCATGGCTTTCCTCAGTTCCCCAGTTTAACTTCCACTATGTATCTCCTGCCAGATACAACACCAGGCTAGTATCATGACTAATTTAGATTAACACCAAGAATGAGGGTATGGGTAAAAAAAAACAAGTACAACTTAAAATGAACTTTCACTGACATAAGATGAAGCATCAGCAGCAGGCCCTGGAAAATCATGGTCAAGGCTAATTCATCCACTTCTTGTCTGGTACAACAGATTATAATAATCAGAAGGCATCTCAGGCATGGTGATGACGCAAAAGGCCTTTAATCTCAGGCATATGTAGCCCCAATACCAGCCGTTCAAACTCCACTCATAAGTCTGGGAATTTCATGCTTCCATACTTTTTGGCAACACACACGATCCTGTCACAATTTTGATCAATTGTGCAAAACATTTTGTTGTAGGTAGTGTAGGACTAATTGAAACAGGTGTGGTTTCTAAGCATGAGTCAGGAATCAGGATAAAGGTGTGGTGTTTGTTTCTGAGAGAGCATTTGTTATAGTTTTTTTGTTTTTAATGGTTTGAATTTATGCCTTGCTGTTTGATGTATTGGATGAATGCCGAATTAAGGACTGGTTCCTTAAGATTTGTAACACCTCCCCGATTAACCCATAATTGTGCAAGGAAATATGAAACTTCCAGATTTGGGAATGGAGTTTCGGGGTGGTGCTGCAGTGTATGAGGGTATCGCGAGTCAGATGTGCAACAAACCTATGGTATCTGATGCTTAATGTGTTTTTCTACGCGGGACGTTCAGCGAGCAAACTACACTTTTTAATTTAATGTTGTCTACACAGGATCCGGACGTTTTCCGCTCATAAATAAACCAGTCAAGGACATGACATCGATACTGTCGGGCAAAAAATCCTGGGTTAAGTTACACGCAGCCATCTCAAACAAAACCGGAATTACAATATATCGATTTCAAATTAAAGGAACCAAACGTAAATTTCAAGAGCAAACTTTTAAAAGTACAAAAATATGTGCAAGGTGGAAATTAAAAAAACTCATCAAAACAAAAATAAAGAATACGCTCAGCCTCCCATTCTCAACGATAAATGCAAAATCAAACATTGCTCAGCATGTAATTTGTTGGGGATTCAAGGTGCAATTAACTGCAATAATTACGGACATAAACAATAATTAAGCGACTCTGCAAGGCTTATTATTATTATTATAATAATAATAATAATAATAGTGGTGGTGAAAATGTGCTCGATGAGGATTTTACTTTGAAAGTGTTAAACGGAAGTTGTATATTTTAGTGGTGAATTTGACAAATGTCGCTCAATATTATTCATTTAGGCTTCTTCTGACTGGACGAGCAAAAACGTTCATTTTGTTTGTATTGCACAACATACGTGTAAATGTGTCATGCTGATTAAACTTTTAATCGCAATGACACAGTTCGGTATTAAGCAGGCTGAAGCAGGGGATGTAACGTTAAGTAAGCATAGCTATACATGAGTGACTCCCATCAGAATAACCTTACAATATGTTGCTAGCTTTAGCAAGCCGTTAGCTGCCAAGTTCCCACATCATTTCATCTTTTCATACACACGTTTCTGAAACTGACATTTTCAGCAAAGACTGTCAGGCTTACCTTTTGCCTCACAGTCAGCACAGTACTTGTTGTCGTCTTCTCTCAGCAGTTTAGACAGAATGGCCTGATGCTGCTCGTTCAGTTTCTGTGCTTTTTCTCTCTCCGAGCGCGTCGTCATTTCGCCAAAGTGTGGAAGTTAGTCCTGCTTGTGTAGAGCCGATAAAACCACGGAGTCTTCAGTTTGTATCAAAAAGGGTGGGACATCCCCTTGTAGCCGCACTGTACGTTACTGCTTGTATTCGGTTAGCTTGCAACCTGCTAACAAGGTAATATGGATCCAAAGCAGCATCATCCCTGCTGCCTTCAACATTATCGGAATTTCTACAGCAGCGTGAATCACAATCAGCTTTAATTTGGACACACACAGAATTTGTGTTTACAGTGACTCGCAATCCACTTACATACAAATGTACAGGAAGATACACATACAGAAGACGTTCAGCTAAAACAAGAGATAAGCAGCCATAAACATCTATGTACAGGTAGGTAGGTGGAAGAACACATAGGCAAAATAAAGCTCTTTCAGCTGCATCTTGTATGAACTGTGCTATACAAATGTAGTTTATTATTATTAATATTTTCTCCTTTTGGCTAGGGGCTACTTTTACAAGCGCATACAAGTGAAATAAGAAGTATTCCAATAGGCAGAGAAGAGAGAAAAGATTATAAACTGAACCGTCAGTGAACGCACCAGGAAAGGACTCGTATTCAAATAACGTTAGCTACCATTTTATTTAAGTTTGATGGTGTTATAAAATCTTGAATTTTACGTAGCTTAAAGTGCAGAATTATTATTACAATATTACTTACAATTCAATGTTCTCATCATGCTCCTTTCAAAGTGTTATATTTTTATTATTATATTATTGGATTATCAATATAGCCTACTAAATAATACTGACAGGGAAGCTGGTATTTCCATGTGTTGCTGAAGGCAATGCGTTGCACTACACTGTAAGGCTGTTGTGCTGATCAATAAGCTTACTACCTACCATTAGGTCAAATAATAATCTCCACTGCCTCCCAACCTTCTCAGAAGATATTATTTTTTATCATTAAATCGGACAAAATAAGATTTCCTCCTGAAGTTTCATTTGAGTCGTTTTCTTTACAAATGGCAACTCATTTCAACAACTTACAAACCCTACCATCCAGCAGGGCAGCATGTCCCCACACTTGTAGGGCTGGAATTAGACAATATCTGCCCTTATTCTTTTTTTTTTTTTTTCTGGAGGAACGGTGTAAATTATTGCTTAACAGAATAGTACCTGATCGAATATCTCAGATCAGTGAATCAACAATTTGTTTCAACAAAAGCTATAACTTTTAACATAACATTATAACATTTTGTTCTGGGTAGGAAGGGACAAAAATGAGAAAGTAGGGGAAAACATTTTTCTTAGTGGAACTGCTCTTTACGGATATAAATATATATATATATATATATATATATATATATATATATATATATATATATATATATATATATATATACAGACTGCAAGCAAACCCGATTCCTACACATGGTGCTCCTATTATTATATTTATTGGACAGTCTACTAATTCAGTAAAGATTGTGTGTTTACATGGAAAATTATATTGTGAGTGTGTTTATTATGGCTGGTTAATCTTGCCATATAAGTGGTCTATGAACATTATCTGAACAGCAACAGCTGTCCTTCACCCAACATTGGAGAAGAATATCACTGTTCATTCCTCGCTTCAACAAGGCTGAGTTTCAGGTGATAGATTCTTCGGGTGTGTTTTAATCCATACCAGGCAGCCCATTCAAGCAGTTACAATACCTAAAGAGAGGAGAAACTCTGGCACCTGGTGGACAGTTGACATCATTGCAGCCTATCTAATCTGTCTCCAGAATTATGATGTGTATCAGTTGTGAGGCTCCCTGAAGGCATGGCCCAAAACCTGCATGGTGTTGGAGTGCTGTAAGTAAGGCACACTGATAAATGCAAACAAATACATGAGTGTTCATGACTATTGAACTTCTGTATCTTCAAACAAACTCTTTCTATGGTCTAATGTATCTTTCTTACTCTTTGTATTTTTTCAATTTCCCTATGTTGCTTTTAAACTTTTTTATATTTCCCTGTTGCTTTTATGTTTTCTGTAAAGCACTTTGAATTACCTTGTTGTTGAAATTTGCTATACAAATAAACTTGCCTTGCCTTGCCTTATGAATATGACAGGCTCGTGATCTATACCAGTACAACACCATAAATAAGCCAGACTCAGATCATTACCACTGCAACTATTTAGCATTTATCTGAACATACAGTAAGTGCATTATCAACCATGTGGTGGATATATCCAAAATGAGTACAGAAAATATATCAACTTCAGGTAAAGGTATTTTATTGTCACATACACCAGTGTCTGGTCAATGCACTGACTGACAAAACCTATCATGTTTTTGATGGTGGGGGAAACCAGAGCATCCAAACTCCACACAGAAAGGTCAGGGTAACCAGGGTTTGAACCTGTGACCTACTTGCTGTGAGGCCACGGTGCTATCCGCTGGACCACCCAAACATGCTGACTGCTTCAAGTGCTGCATTTATAAACCATGAGAGATAGAAATTTTTATTTTTATTTCATGGGATAAGGAGCAGTCTGAACAGAGGAGTTCAGTCTGATGCTTAGAGTTCTGCTGTCCTAATGTAAATGGAAGCTCGTTCCTCCATTGTGAAGGCAGGACAACAAACTGTCAGTGTCAGTTTTATTAATCTAGCCCCCCCCCATAGTGAGGGAGTAGCAATCCTGAATGTAGGATGGGCCTGAGCCATTCGTAGCATAGTAGGCAAGTACCAGGATTCAAGATCCTCACCCCTTAAGTGCAGCCCTTGAGGTACGAGATAATTAAACTATGCTGCAAGTCAGTTGATTAAATACAATATCACATCATCCTTCACTTATTGCACGTGCATCCAATTTTCCATTCGACACTGGAATCTAATTTAATTTCTAACTCTGTTGACATGACTTGTAACTCTACTTTGCCTTGTCACAACTTGCTGCTACGTACCATGATTCTTTTCCATCCTGAAGTATTGACCAACAATCTTAACCCCACCCAGACGCATGCAATGGTCAGGGGGAAAAAGACAAGACAAAAAGCTTGTGTTGATCCAATATGACCTAATAATAAAGGGTAAAAAAACCAAAACATTAGCCTTTTCATCTGGGTTGCATGAAAAATGTAGTGTATCACCTTTAATTTTGACAGACAGCAGGACCAACAGCAAAGAGACAGATGTACAGTGTTACACATTCACATGGCACAGGCAAGGTAGCAGCTATTCCCAAACAAAAATCACAACAGACTACGTTTCTAATGAGAGGTTATCAGAAACACATCATTAAAATTGGATCATAACAATAGAAAATTTGACTAATAGGAGAAAGTACAAATAATACAAAAAGTTAAATCAATTACAAATAAATTAATAACAAAATATATATATATATAGTACATGTCGGCCTACCACAATATGTGTAATTGCAAGTAATTGTACCCGACATACTCAACAAACTCTAGTCATAAAACTCAGCTTTAGGTTAACAGAGCAGTTGTTAGCTTAGAAAAGTCATCTGTTAAAACTCAAATGATGAGTAAAAAATTTTCAAACGTAGCTTACTTCCTCATTAAAGGAGACATACACACCATGACTCAAAACTAAAGCAGCACCACCACGTCATTATGAGCATCTCAGACATTAGATGACAGCAACATAACACATTAAGTTTACATGACATCAGGCTATGTCTGTCTCTCTTAGTCGTCTTCACTTTAAAATAGAGCATAACACAAGACTCGGGTCCGGAGCAGTCTGATCGCTAGCTGTTCCCTATGAATGTTAAATAATAGATCAAATAAATAGGAAATATTAGCACAGTTATCGTTCAACAAAGCCAGCTGAAAACAAGTGTTAGAGACAGACACAAAAATGGTTCAAGCAAACTCTGAGAGGTGCACATCCTCAGTTTACTACTTTCACACTAATACATTAATGTCACCACCACTAGAGGGCAGCAGAGGCGCATCCTTTCAGGCAAGTCCTGCATCCTAAAGAGCGACTTTCTGCTAAACCATCAGAAATTTGGCAGTTTCCTTCACATCAAACCTTATATCATACTGCACTGACATCAACTATAGCATGGTGCAAGTCTAGTCTCACAGTTCTTATCCCCAGATCAAGGAAAAGCACCCGACAGTAAATACCAAGTGAGCCATGATAATGGCAATGACCAATGTTCCCTTTAAAATGATCTATCAAGCACATCACCTCTGTTCTTAAAAACAATTAAAATAAAAATATTAACAAACATTAATAACTTTCAGGCTAACATCACGGTGCAAGCCTCTGAAACACCACTGAGAAAAACACTCTGAAATCAAAGGATGGATTCACAAAATAATGACATACAGTATGATGTGAACTCATCGTGCATTTTGGTCCAGTATTTGTGTGTAAACATTTGATGAAGGTTTGATTTTTGAGTGAAGTCTCTGCTTGGATGTCTTAATCCTGAACTACTGACCTTACTGACAACCATAAGTTGAATATCTGTTCTTTAACAAATGTGAGACTGGAGTGTTTTCACGATGTCAGACAAACAAGTGTGTTTACGGTACCTGCAAAATGAATGTTTAGTTAACTGTAATTAGATCCCGTAAGCTTGTCAAGATGCCTTTAGATATGGAGGTCTTCAGCTTTTGAGCAACAATAGCAGGTTGCATTTACCTAGTTAGTAATTTGCTGTCTCAACAGGTCTCAACATATAATGTTCATTTTTGTTCTGTTTTTGACTAAGAGCTGATCTTTTCACCATATCTAAATATTTTCGTACAATCTGTTTCATTTGTTACAATTACTAGCTAACTCCAGTATCAGGTCAGCTAACCATGACTTAGTCTAAACAACTGGTTTATTAGCTAAGCAAACAATAGCTAAGACATAAGAGCCACATGTTGGCTGACTGATAGCTGCATGTTAAAATGCATTGCTTTTAGCTAGCAAACAACACCCCAAACAAACTTGCTACTGACCGAACTCCTCTGTAATGTATAAACAAAACTACCTGCTACTTTTATGAATAAGTCGCACTAATGTATTGTTTGAAAGCATTTTGTAATTGGTAAGTAAGATGCCAATACATGCTGATTTGCGCTAATTCCAAAAGGTGCTGATGCATAAATGCAGCTTTTGAGAGTTAGCAATCTGAGTGTATTCAGTGTGTAGCCATTATTAGTACACAGACTCCAGGAGCAAATTTGTAAAGCAACTATATACCGCTGGTATATAGTTGGTATATAGTTACCGCTGGTAACTGCAATATTAGAGGAACGTGCTTGGAAAATGCTGATATCATCTAGGAAACAAACGCAGGTAAAGTTATGTACCTGCAATTGGCTTTTTATGAGGTATTTCCCCATGGTATTAAGTTAGAGGATCGTGGATTTAGAGAACATTAACCCCAAGGTTCTGTTTACTCAGGGATAAATAGGATTAGTCAGGGGTTAAAACAGGTATCAATGGGTTTTCTCACACCACAATACCACAATGGTATGTATATAAACACACTACGTCAAATGTTCAAACATTCAAAATGCTTTACCATAGTGTTTGTCACTAGCTAAAGGTTGCATGAGACTTGTTTAAAAATAGGTCAAATTCTTGACCTGTCATTTCAAGGGTTAATGTTTGACATTGTCTGCAGACGGTCAGCAAACAAAACTCTGGGCACATCTTGTAAACAAACCACTTATGACAAACCTGGGACCACACAGTCCCCTTTTCAATCTGAGTTGACTTTGAAAGACAGAATTTGCTGTTTCCTAAGAATGTAAAGCAAATGAGCTGAACAAAAAAAAATGCAAAAACATCCTTTTCAACAACTGAGTTGAAGTGATTGAACAGGTATCCCAAACGTGTAATTAAGTTAGGACAGACGCTGTCAAGCATTTAGACACTTTGACATGGCAGCAGTTGGCAAGTTGTTAGTGATCTATAGTTAGTGTTGGTCATTGTATTTGCTGTCTGAAGATATCAAAGAACAAAATGTACTTGATGATGTTCCAATGCACAAACCAATGGCTGTGAGCGTCTCATACAGTACATGAGAAAAACACAGCTACGACATTTATGGGAATGTTTTGAGGACATTTTACACAAAGTGTGTTTCTAACACTGTTTATCGCAAAATGCTTTAATCAAAATGTTTGAAAATACAATAATAATAATAAAATTTTACTTTTTAGCTAGATTAGGGAATATTTTTTCAAAATCAATAATTGTTAAATTCATCATATCCTAATTTGGATTAAAATGCTTAGATGGAAACCCAGTTATTGAGACACAAGCCCATGTGACCAAATTACAAAAGCACAACAGAAGCACTAGGTGTACTGTAGACTGTCAGTGCTCTGCACGGTTAGGATGGGACTTCTCCTCACAAGTGAAACCATCAGTGAACTTGTTTTTTGAATGGACACTAAGTCAGAATGGTGTCAGCAGCAACGTCAGAAGTATCCAAAGGTCAGGGAGCAAGAAAAAAAGTCTTGCTGAGTTCACAGGACAGACTCGATAGCTTCTGGCATGGCATCTAAGGCTTTGGTTTGGTGCGTGACGAGCGGCGAGGTCTCCTCCTCCGCGTGGACATTGGCCACCGCCTCCACTCGGACTTCGGCCAGTTCCCCTTCCTGCTGCTGCTGCTCCTGCTGCTTCTTCATCTCCCGCTGGTTGATGTGGTGGAGGATTCCAGCTCCCAGAGCGTCGCCCTCCACATTCACCACTGTGGTGGTACGATCCCTGTAAGTAAAATGGATGTAAGAGACAGCTGAGGCCTGAGTCTACTTTCAGCAGACATCGATATTAGATTACATGGTTGACGTTAGTTCTGACCTTTTGAGTTATCTTTCATCAGTTAGTAATTTAAAGAGGTGGTATTCTGCTCATTTTCAGGTTCAAAATCTTATTTAGGGGTTGTACCAGAACAGGTTTACATGGTTTAATTTTCACAAAGCACCATATTGTTTGTCATACTGCACATTTCGGCAGCTCCTCTTTTCACCCTGTGTTGAAGGCTTCGTTTCAGCTATGGAGTGATACATCTTGTCTCTAAATGATTTTCGTTGGGAGTTGCACATGCTCAGTTCCTAGTTAAGGACTACTAGCCAATCAGAAGCAGAGAAGGGCGGGTCAGTGAGAAGCTGGTAAACAAGGCTTCGGTTCAGCAGTACATGTTGCCGACCAGCTTGGCAACATGGACTGGAGCAAGAGTTTCAGAGTGGTGATCTGGGACCCGGGACCTGTATTCTGAATTAGGAATGCTCTTTCGGATGTAAAGCATTTATGTAGGTGAACTCATTTTTAACCTGCTGCTGTGTGTGTTTGCTCTGATACCGCCAAACAAATGTGGCTTGGGAGAATACAACAAAATGTTCAACAAACCCTTTCCCTTCGTTTCTTCCTGCCGGCCCACCAGTCGGGAAACCCTAGTCATATTTTCTTACTGTAACGTTGGAAACGTGTGTCCAGACATGATCAGATGTGTGTCAGTGGGTTCACAGGCTTTACTCACACAATCCAGTCAACAGCCAGCATGAGGGACAGGTCGTTGGTCGGCAGGCCGATGGCTTCCAGGATGATTGCTATGGTAATGATGCCGCCTGCTGGGATACCTGCCGCACCGACACTTGAGGCTGTGGCTGTCACCCTATAAATAATAAAATAATAAAATATCCATGTGGATTAGATTAAATTAATATGATTCTTTAACTTGCTGGCAAATGTGAGAACAAAGCTGATGATTTTTGTGTGTGTCAATTCATAGTTATATTGAGCAAATGGAAGAAAATGTTTAATGATCCGCTGAACTCACAGGATGGTGAAGATCTGTCCAGCGTTCAGCTCAGCATTGTTGAGCTGAGCGATGAAGACAGCGGCGATGCACTGGAATATGGCCGCCCCATCCATGTTAACAGTGGCCCCGATGGGAAGGATGAAGCGGCTGATGCGTTTGTCCACGCCGTTGTTCTCCTCCACACATTTTATCATAGACGGAAGAGTTGCTGAACTGGTGAGAAAAAGAGAGAGATGATGGAGCATAATTATTTTCATCATATCATCTTTATCAGCCATTCAGGTGAAATAATACTAATCAGTCATGTTCTCAAATGTAGGTATTGTAATGAACTAATGTTATCTTCTGTTTGAACTGTATTAAAAAAACACCTTCTGGTAATATGTATTAAACAGCTATACTAAACATTCAATGGCAGGGAAGAGTAGTGATTATTTTGTGTCTTTTGTGCAGTTAAGACATAGAAACGCTGTCAGGCATGTTCACTTTGAAAAGCCGTCCAGCCAACAACGTCTTTCCCAGAGCGATGTGCTGATTACGATACAGCGTCACCACATCAACGCTTACAAGAAAATAGTGTTTGACATGAAGACACCTATCAGAGTTTTGCCAAGAGCTTGAGGTGGGATGATATTTCACTGGCCTCATAATTCTCTATGCAGGAAAAACGGGTCCCACCAACTATTTCAGTTTGTGTAATATGAAAAGACAGTTTTAATCCTTGCAAGTATTTGAGAACCTGTTTATACACTGTTTATGTGCCACTTAACATCTGACTAAATGTCCGAACATCATTATGAAAATATTGTATAACAAATCCAATCAATGGACAGAAATGTCTGTTGAGAATATCATCCTACACAGCCGAAATTGTAAAGTGTGCCTTTAAGATACTAAGATACTGTGTTGCCTAGATACGAGAGAAACGTCATCAGGCAGCGCCCAGTCTATCTCGGTACGCCTGCTGTGAATGGATGTCTGTTGCTGAGCTTCTGTTTTTGTTTCTCAACTCTAGAATAACATTTGGAAGACGTGTAACCTCTGTTTTACTCATGTCTGATTTAACAGTAGCTGTTCAACTGGGCTTGATAAGGTTGCCGTGTTAGTAAGAAACAGCTCATTATTAAATTTCATTTTATCATTTCAACCTGCTAGATTTTGATCTTGAGTGCAACTTGACAACTTTCCCCCCAGATAGTGGAACTAGCTACAAGAAAGGGCAGGATGTCAAGAGTAAATCTAAAGACAAAGCTAAAAGGGTGAAACGTTTTACTTGTGCCTTACTACTGCTGTGCATTGCTACTACCCCTCATTTCATTTCAAACCCATCTTAAACATCTTTCTGATGTGACTGTATACCTGGAGCAGGTGGCGAAGGCAGTGGTGAAAGGCGTGATAAGGCCTGCCAGGAAACTGAAGGGGTTCTTGCGCGTGAAGGCGAAGTAGATGAGGGGCAGGACGATGCCTCCGTGGATAATGTGGCCCAGGATTGAAGCAAAGATGTACTTTCCCAGACTAGTAACCAGAAGAATCACATCCTCCATCTCTACAATCTTACTTCCGACAAGGAACATGATGCCAAAAGGGACATACCTGAGAGACACAAGAGGAAAGAATTTACCAGGAAAGAAAAAAGCAAAAGGAATGTAGAACGATAACATCAACAAACGGTTGGTATAGTCAGTTTCCTTTTCATCCTGACCTACTGCACAGGATTGCGTCCTTTGGCCTCTTTTATATGTGCTGTACAACAGTGAGTGTCAAAGCCAAAATGTGTCATATCTTTAAGTTTACTGACGACTCAGTGATTGTGTCCCTCATGAGCAGTGACGATCCTGATCATGGCCCTGTAGCGGCATTTTTAGAGTGGTGTACATTGTCCCCTTTGGACTGCTATTTTGGATTGCTATTAATGACTAGCTGTGTGTAGGCTCATCATCGCATGCATTTTTATTGTAAGCTTCTGAGTTTTAATGTTGATACCACTTTTACAAAAAAAAAAAAATTCTTATTCTTGTTTTACATTCTCGACAAGGCTTGGTCAAAGTGTGCGGGGAAATTGCAAGCACAGCTCTGAACAACCTTCCACATTTATATAAGGTTAGGACTTTGAAGAAGAACCATTCAATCCTGGCTGATCCTAGCCATCCTCTGTCTAAAGAGTTCAATTTGCTTCTTTCAGGCCGTAGATACAGGACACCAAAATTGTATTTGTCCCAGCTGTCACTGGCCTTTTAAATAATTCATTGTGATTCTATTTTTATTGTTGGTTATTTTATTTTAACTGTGGTCCCTAGTGTAATTTCTTTTGTCATATTTATTTTTTGCTTATTCATAGATTGCTTGTTTGATGGTTGTTTTCTGACTGTACAACAAATTGCACCTCAGGGACAGTAAAGATATTCTCGATCCTTGACCTATTGAGTATTGTCACAAAGGATCACCTGATGCAGTTCGAATACACCACTATCAATACCATTTTTAAAACCCATATGCATCCAGCTGTACTCACCACATGATCCAAGACACCAGCACCATGGTGGCCTCGTTGAAAGCATTGAAGAAACGAATTAGTTCCTCCCCCTCATCTCCCAGCTTCCTCAGTGCCACGCCAAACACCATGGCAAATAACACCAGACCCAGGATGTTCATGCCATCTGTTTCTGTACCAACAGGCACCTAAAACACACAGCAGAGTCAGACTGTAGAGACAGAACATAGTGAAGAGATTGTGGGAAAGAGATCTTTGAAGAACCCTCTGGTTGGTTAAAATAAAAATAAAAAACATGGGAAACGGCCTCCAGAGATACCCATTGCCTCTCTGTTCATGTTTAGGTTTGTTAGTTGGGCATTGCATCCTTGTTTTCTGTTGTATTTAGTTACATATAGCCTTGTGTATTGTCTGTAGCTTTACTTCCTGTTTTATTTTGTATTTTTTTTTGTCTAACTTTGTTTCCTGTCTACCTTGATTCCTAATGTGTCTCACCTGTGTTTAATAGCCCTGCCTGCTTGGGTGTGTGGTGTGCCCGTGCATATATTGCCCTCAGTTGTGTCCTGTCCTTGTGGTGTCATCATATGTTGAGAGTTCTGCCTTGTGCTCTGTTTCCCTGGATTTTTGGATTGTTCCCTTGTGTTTGGATTACCTAGCCTTTTGTTGGATTAACCAGTGTTTGGATTCTATACTCTGCTTTTGTTTTGGGCATCCCTGTAAGTGACTTCCTTAGTTTGAATAAACCTGCAATCTGATCCAGCCTTGTTTAGTGTCTGCATTTTGCGTCCACACTTGTTTCCCTACTACTGCACTCAGCCCCTACGTGATAGTACGACACCACCAACAATGGACTCATCAGACATCTCTACGGCCCAGACCTCCAGCACCACAGTTGGCTAACCCGCAAGAGACTGTATTGCCCAGCGCCACTGCGGTGGTTCCTGTCCTGGCTGATTCTCAGTCGGTGGAGCCACCGATACCAGCTCCCTTGGTGGTCCAGCTGACGTCTGCCCCTAGTGCCCTGTTGGAGGACCGATCGACATCAGCTATGTTGGTGGTCCAGCCGACTCCTGCCCCTCGTGCCCTGTGGGAGGACCGACCAACATTAGCTTCGTTGGTGGTCCAGCCGACTTCGGCTCCTCGTGCCCTGTCGGAGGACCAACCGACATCAGCTCCGTTGGTGGTCCAGTCGATGCCAGCTCCCCGAGTCCAGTCCCTGGTCTCCAGCCTAGTTGTCTAGTCCATGGGTTCCAGTACCGTGCTGCTGGTCCTCAGCCCGGGAGTCCTGTCCTGGTTTCCTGTTGTGCTGCTTCACTGCTGGACTTAGGCCCTGCCAGGCCTCCAGAGGGGTTTTGCCTCCACCGCCAGCCTCCAGAGAGTTCCAGTCCTCGCCGTCAGCCTCCTGCTCGGCCTCCAGAGGGTTTCCGCCCTTACAGTTGGCCGTCCTGCCGACCCCCTGATCTGCTCTGTCTGTTGGGTCGACCTCCGGGTCTCCCCTCCGAACTGCTCTGCCCCCCTTTCTACTTGGCCCATTGGATCGACTTCCGGGTCTACCTCTCGAACTGTTCTGTTCCCCTGAAGTCTCCTGGTTCCTCTCTGCCCTGCCTTCAGGCCGCCAACCTGAGGTGCCCTGTTCCCTATCTGCTCTGCCTTCGGGCTGCCCGCCTGAGGTCCCCTGGCCCCTCTCTGCCCTACCGTCGGTCCACACTTCTGTTTCCCTTCTACTGCGCTCAGCCCCTACCTGATACATGTGCTGATTTTATTTTACTATTTCGTTTGCTATGCTCCAGTCTGGCTGTTCAACGCCTGTGTTTCTAACATGTGACCAACTCTGGCAAATGCTGTTTCCACACCTCCAGCAAGCCCATGTTGGGTTTTCCGAAGATGTTATCAGCCTGCTGCCGGCTCAAGCTTAGTCGCCAAATGGGACTGATCACACCCGAGGATGCCCAAGAGATCCAACAAGCTGGCCCACACGAGAATCGAGGCTGTGTCTCACTCCTCTCCCAAAAGCAACTTTCTCCCATAACCACAAGGTGAAACTTTCCTTTTTTAATTTATTCCTTCAATGAAGCTGATTATGTGGTCTGTGTATGAATTGTAACTGTAACTGTCACTCACGAGTCAAAAACGTAGTAGCAACTTCCAGAATTGAGACTGAATTAATTAATTAACAGTTTTCCTTTTTTAGGGGTTGTGCCAAAGTTAAATTAAATTTAATAAATTCTGTTATTTAGTTCGAACACTGATATTATTTCTGATACCTTGAAGTTGAGTGCTATCCCTTTACTTCATCTTTTGTACCAATTAATGTGTTAACGCTACTTAATTTAGTTGTACTTATTTTGATTTTGACTTATTTATTAAAGGTGCTGCCTTTATTAAGTGGTATTAATGTTAGCATGCTCACATTTTGTCACGATAGCACAACCATGATTTGGTTGTGGCTATGGTTTTACGGGTGGTTGTGTTTTCTTTTGTGTGTATGTGAATGGCTGGTTAGTTTCGTTTTCTGTCGCTCTGTCTTTCTCTCCTTTTTACTTCTCCTCTCCATGCAGAGAGCAGCAGTAGGTGTGACCATGGTGGGTCCTTGCCAATGCGTGCACTAACCTGTTTGGCAGACTGATTGACACACCTGTTTTTCATCATGCCTATCAGCACTGCCTTAAAAGCCCTGCATTTCTCTCCAGTCCCCAACTGAGTCATGTGTCACCACACCGACCAGCTACATGGAGGATTACCCTCGGCCCTGCTCCATTCATTATTGAGTTACTGTACTGACAGTTGCCAAGACATCTTACTCCAGTCCAAGATGCCAGTCTCACTAGGTGCTAGAGGAAAGGTCAGAGGATCACTGAAGTCCATGAATATCTGTACAAAGTTCAGTAGCAATCCTTCATTATTTGTTGAAATATTTCAGTCTGTACCAAAATGGTGGACAAACACGACTTTTGCACTGACCCATGATCCCCCTGATAGTATGGCCAAAAAATGTATGTTGATCAAACAAGATCGGTTTCTTAGGTCATGAAACACAACAGCAGTTGTTCAGTGTTGGTCACATACTGTAAGCTTAAACTTGGACCTCATTTGTAGCCTTTCATTATGGAGGTGGAAGCTGGTCAAGCAATGGTGCTGTATTTAAGTAGTTTCTATCACAACTCTTGCTACGGAGGTTTCGCGGGTGCATAGGTCTGGAGGCAGTTTGAGGATTCAGTGAGCTGGATGATGGATAACGAGTAAAGACAGGGACAAATCCTGAGCTCAATCCCCTTCCATTGTCCTGAGCTCTCCCACAGCTACACCAGCTTCATCCCCTGGCACTGGGGGGACTGTCCACCATGACCCATGACAAGACAAATACCATGGACCAATGCCATGATCTGATCCTCCAACTGTTCCCTTATACTGGATCAGTGGAGGCAAGTCATGGCCACTGGAGAGAAATAGTTGGATTCAAAAGACTATTACTGTTTGTTCAAAATGTAGCATATTGGATCAAATGGAAACTCTGACTTGCGGGACAGGACGTCAGTCATACAAGTTATTTCAAAACTGGTGTTATAGAGCTTTTTACACATTCAAATGTTCTTTAGTATCTATTGTGTTGAACCATTTGAGTGAAGTGCTGCAGAGAACTTAATAATGGTTCTTTGTAGCAGTTAAAATGGTGCTTCTATGGTAGAATGCTAAAAAAAAACTTTTGTGCTACTATTGTAAACGTTTTCATCCAACAGTTTGTATTTTGTCATTTATCTGTTACGGCAATCTCAAAATCTGCAACCAGCCTTGTGCCAAGCTGTGTTTGTTCCCTGTTTAGACAAACACTTTATCTTCCTCACTGGCCCTCGCAGGATATCTGGTGGGTCAAGCTAACCTGTCCACTGGCCAACACTCTTGACTGACTGAACAATCATCACTCAACAAAAACAGAAACTTAAGTAAGTAAAGGAGAATCACTACCCAGAGAAAGCTGGACTCATTCGCCATTTCTGAAGCAAGCACCATCAAACCCACCAGGGATTTAGAGGTTTCCGTATGCTTCAAATGGACCATGTTGTCTGGACACGGACCAGAATGGACACTGAATGCTAAAGTGTACGCCTGTTCCAAATAGCCATATTCAAAAGCAGTGTGAAAAGCCCACCATCATAAAAAGGACAAGACACAAAGAAAGAAACAAGTGAGGATAATGATGCATACTTTTGGAAAGTCTTTCCCCAGAGGTGTCCATGACGTTGCCCTCAGGTGAAAGTTTATTATTTATTTATTTCGCTCAATTGTGAGCATGAAACAACAGAATGACGCTGCTGAAGCTTCTGTGACGTTTTGTCAGTTTGAGTTGGTCAAATTAAGTCATTATCTCTAAAAATTGCAGTATTTGTGTCCTTGCTAAGCTGTGGTGGAGGGATACTGTTCATCCTGTTAGTGATATATGGTTTGTTGCATGGACAACCGAACAAGCCTAAGCATGTTATCTTTATTTTATAGTGTAGTTTTACATTGAACATGGCCTGTGGATTGTGTAGCGCATTTATGTAGTGTCACTATGAAGGGACCTGGTCATGGCAAGTGTGGACAGAGGGAATGATTACTCTTCCAACATCTACAGTCCCCTCCAAAAGTATTGGAACGGTAAGGCAAATTCCTTGGTTTTTGTTTTTCACTGAAGACATTTGGGTTTAAGATCAAAAGATGAGTATGAGACAAGAGTTCAGAATTTCAGCTTTTATTTCCTGGTATTCAAATCTAGATGGGTTAAACAACTCAGGATATACCACCCTTTGTTTGAACCCACCCATTTTTGAAGTGAGCAAAACTATTGGAACATGTGACTGACAGATGTTTCTTGTTGCCCAGGTGTTGACTTGGTTCAAATATATAAAGACTGCATTTCCTGTTAAAGAGGATAAACCAACATGAAGACCAGAGAGCTGTCTATGGGAGAAAAGCAAGCCAATGTCAAGCTGAGAAAAGAAGGAAAATCGACCAGAGCCATTGGACAAACATTGGACACAGCAAGCACAACAATATAGAATGTCCTGAAAAAGAAAGAAACTACTGGTGTACTGAGCAACAGACGTCCAACAGTCCAACAGGTCGGCCAAGGAAAACAACAGTAGTTGATGACAGAAATATGGTGAGAGCTGTGAAGAAAACCTCCAAAACATCAGGAAGTGACACCAACGACCTCCACAGTGCAGGGGTGAAGGTATCACAATCCACTGTTGGAAGAAGAGTCAGAGAGCAGAAATATAGAGGCCACACCACAAGATGCAAACCACTCATCAGCAGGAAGAAGGCCAAGATTAATGCTGATGCAGTGATGGAAAGGCCAAAGTGTGGAGAAAGAAAGGAACTGCTTATGATCCGAAGCATACAAGCTCATCTGTGAAGCCTGGTGGAGGTAATGTCATGGCTTGGGCGTGCATGGCTGCTTCTGGAACAGGCTCATAGATATTTATAGATGATATTAGCAGCAGAATGAATTCAGAAGTGGACAGAAACACTTTGTCTGCCAATTTTCGGAGAAATGCATTGAAACTAATGGAGAGGAAGTTTATCATGCAGCAGGACAATGAGCCAAAGCACACTGGCAACAAAACAAAGGACTTCGTCAGGGGAAAAAGCGGAAGGTTTTAGACTGGCCAAGTCAATCAGCTGACCTTAACCCAACAGAGCATGCATTTCACCTCCTTAAGAGGAGACTGGAGGGAGAAACACCCCGAAACAAACAAGAACTGAAAGAAGCTGTGGTAAAAGCCTGGAATAGCATCACAAATGAAGAATGCAACAGTTTGGGTGATGTCGATGGGTCGCAGGCTTGAGGCAGTTATTGCAAGCAATGGTTCTGCCACCAAATATTAAATGTTATTTACTTAAAGATTATTTGTTCCATTACTTTTGCTCACCTAAGAATGCTGTGGTCTAATACAAACGGTGGTATATCCTGAGTTGTTTAACACATCTAGATGTGAATACCAGGAAATAAAAGCTGAAATTGTGAACTCTTGTCTCATACTCATCTTTTGATCTAAAACCCAAATGTCACAATGACTGAACAACAAAGGACAAAGACAAATAACAAAAACAAAGGACTTTGCCTTCCAATACTTTTGGAGGGGGCTGTATATGATATGTGGGTATTGTATTAAGACAGACACAGAAAAAATGGAATATATTCTATTATGTGTGTTAAGCTTAAAATGCTTTTTGGTGATAAACGCTGAATAAACAAAAAGTGTGTTTGAGATAAACTCTGCAGGCTACATAAGATTTCATCAGCTGATATTTGCTCTTTGCATGTTTGCACTTACCCTCACTTTTAGGAGCAGAGCAAATAAATGTATTTGTCCATCATAGTTCAGCTTCTCCCTCCTTTTTTTCTCTTCAGTGTTGTACCTTCACTGGTTTAAAATGCATTTTAATGATTTATTGAGCTATTTAAAATAAGATTGTAGTGTCGTGAAATTATTCTTTGAATTGACACATAGTGTAAGTAAGTGTTCGTGACTTCTGAAACCTAGGGATCTCATGGTTATTTGGCACCAGCGGACCTGTCATCCTTGAACCAATTCTCACTAAACAAAGTAATCCATCAGTCTCTCACATAGTGCTTATTTAGTGAGCTTGTACCCATACTCACATACCCATACCCATTGACTCACATACACACAAAAAAACGCTCAAAGTAAACATGTTCTCAAGAGTAACTCCTGGTTTTAATTTAAAATTGAGAGATTGTTAGACTTTTCCTTTCAAAGGTGCAATGTTTAGCATTTTGCACATGTATCACATGTGTGCGTGAATGTGCACAGGATGCTTAGTGTTTATACCTTTTGATAGAGGGTGGTCCCATTGGTGTCATTCCCTACAGCAACCATCTTGTAGCCAGTGGCATACTGCAACGTAAAGGAAAGGAAAACTTGCAGTTAATTTTGTTGTTGCTGTTCAGTCATACATTTTTGTTAAGTGCATTCTAGTGCTGAAACGTGTAGTTACAGTGTCAACATGCAACAACTATAAGGATTCATATAAAGTACACGTAAATGTGTAAACTGAAGTTTTACATGCACACTAGTATCCCAGGTATGATCTGGTTTCTGGAGTATTCCAAAAGTCGGTCGACCAAAGCTGCAAGCAGAAAGACACCTTAGAAGAAAGGGGAGCTGAATAACTAGTTTTCTCTATGTTACTTATGTTATCCTAAATAAAATAAAGTCCTACGTTATTGGAAAGCTTGTGTGCATGTGAAGGTGCTTTAAGGGATAGTTTAAAATTTTGGAAGATCCATTCATTTCCTTTTTTTTGCTGAGCGTAAGATGAGGAGATCGATTTCAATGTCACGTCCGAAACAATGGAAACAATGCCACAAAGCCTGAAATGTAAATATATGAATTGGAGGTTTTAGTGACAGTTACATTGTGTAACTACTTCTTGATGCCCAGCTCTTCAATGCAGCGTTTCTGCTAGTTGCCTGGCAAACTCACAAGGACGTCAAGACTCTGGGAAGTCACGGCTCCTGGCCGTCGCCAAGAAATAGTTACAGCATGTAACTCTTGTCATATTTATATTGTTTGTGAGTGTTTTTTCAGATGAATGGTGAAAAAGGTGTGAAAATGATGGAAGACAACTGAAAATGACACTAGCCTACTTAAGAACAATGTCTGTTCATTGTTCTTCCAAGGAGTGCAGCGTCTGCATGGAGTTAGAGGCCACTTTGATGTTGTCCGCTGAAGTTCAGACAGTCTTTCAGCAGTGAAGGAGACATATACAGACTTATAGGATAAAGGTTCTTTATGGACTTTAAAAGAGGCTTTAGGTTGTTGAAACCTGCATCATACATGTACATGCAGTGACATACAGTACATGGCTGTAGTCCCAAAACTACTAGTCTCCCATAAACTAAGTCTTACACTTCAATTATTTAAATGTCTGTTTAAACATCTAGCTGCTTGTCATTTTGTGCAAATCTCCCCTCTCCTTTGCTGTTTTAGTTTAAGCCACAGTTGGACCCATTCCACAGGGGCCCTGCAACAGCATAGGCTGGGTGGGGGTGAATTTTGAACTCTATGACCTGGCTGTACTTTGAAACTCCATTTACTGTCGTGAGAAGCCATTTTGTATCCCCGCATCCCCAAATATTGAACTTTCCTGGGTCTTATTTTAGCCGTAATAGACAATCATAATTCTTGGAAGTGGAGCGGGCCACGCTCAAGAGCACCGAGGCGAGGTGGGTTGCTAGGCTGGCTGGAATGGAATGGTCTTCGCCATGGTAACGGCTGGTAAGGGAGCAGGAAAAGAGGCGTTACGGCGAGCAGGGGAGAGCAGCGATCTCTATTCTTAATGTCTCCTCATTAAGGGGCATTATGCGGGCCTCAGCCCTACAGCCAGGATTTACAGCCGCTGTAAATGAATGTGGAGTGGCATCCGCGTGGTTGGTGAAATAAATTCTGATGAACAATCCACACAAGACACGGGTGGTCAGGAAAAACAGACAGAACATGGGAATAAAAAGGGTTGGGGTGAAATAGTGAGGACTATGTGGTGTGGTGAAGTGCTGGCACTCACAGAACGGAAAGCAGCAGCTACCAAGTTCGCTGGGAATAAATTCCTAAGAAAGGAAGAGAAAAACAAATTAGATCCACAGAAAACGACAGTTACTGCTGTTTGATTTCATGTAACTGACCAGAAATTCGGGCAATATTTAAGCCTGTGGTTTGTTATTAAAACAAACAAACAGCTAGCCTCAGAAAGTCTTTCAAACCTGTGTGGTTAACTTATCTGAATGATAAATTGTTCACAGGATTGGTTTGTCATCACACACTCCATGCACTGGCTATTTTCCCAGAATCTTCCATCAAGTCCACTGTTGCCTAAATTCCCTGACAGAGCAGTTGTTACGGCACTGATCTACTGTCTGGTTCATCTTTTGTTAAAACAAATCACCAGGGTCTTTACTGGAATAAGATATTCCTGGAGGTTTCATTGTGTTCATTTACTCTTCATTTTGCCTTTATATGATAGACAGAGATTACAGGGAACAAAGATCTTTCATAAAAATGAATGATGACACGTAGTTTAGTCATGTGTTGTCCGGTAGCCTATCAACAGATTACAGTGTTTGGTTATGGCCTGTATATTTTAAAATTTTAGAAATAAAATGCCACTAACTTTTATTTTACATAATTGTTTAATATGTTTAAATTACCAGTCATAAACACATACACAAGACTGTAAAAAAGAAAAACAGCTGCACAATTAGCTCAGAAAACCCTCATATGGGTCTTTCTAGAAGGCCCTGATAAACAATCACTTGTTGGCATTCAGCCTTAGATAGTCTTTATTTCTCTTTTAAGATTATTCTAGTCGCCTAATATAAATAACTTCCCATGGTAATTTTAAGTCATAAGTCGTCGTACCCCAAACTTACTCTTATTATATTTAGATTATACTCAAATGCTTGTGTGGAGGAGCCAAAGGCCGACATACTTGAATGTTTTTTAACTCTAAAAACATAAAACATAAGAGGTAATAGTTGTTTCATTGCCAGCCTTCCTGTCAGGTTGCATGCACTCCCCTATAGCAATTGTACACCATATATACCAGTTGTTTTAGAATAGTTTGTTGCAATTAGTATCTTTTTGCAATTAGCAAAATCAACACCTTACTGTTGTAACACTAACGGTTAACTTGACAAAGCGACGACTAAATGTTTTTTCCAAAGATTTAATACTTATGTTTTTGCTTCTTGAAACTGATTTACCATCATTCACAATAGGTTTTCATTTATTTCATATGTGAGCAGCTCCTCCTCCATTGGTGTACATCCACAGCACACTGAGGATGTTTAATTTTGTCATTCTTCCAGTGAGAACATTTTACCCTTGGACCCATAGTTTTCATATAAACAGTAGTCTTTTTCACCATTCAAGAAGTTAGTCAGTGTTGTTTCTATTTTAGCCATGATTAAACACCTCTATTTAAAACAATAAATTGTGTTGCATTTTCAGCTTCGCAGGAAGCAACCCATCCCCATATCTAAATGATACAATAGGTCGATGGCCAATGACTCACAGTGACACACGTGAAGTAAATTACGTGAAATGGTAGCGGTTTATTTATTTAACCTTTATTTAACCAGGTGAGTCTCATTGAGATTAAAATCTTTATACAAATACAACTTTATAAACAGCAACACTGACCAATGTTCACCTGCTCCATATCCTTCAGAGTTGAAACAAACTGTGTATAAGAAATAAAGGCAGTCAGTTTCAACAAGTTCTGAAGAAGGTTCCAAGCAGAAGGTGCAGAAGTTTGGTTGAACTTGGTAAGGTCTAAAAATATGGTCATGGTTTGGGGACACGAACCATGGTCTCCTGGATGAAAGTCCAGTGTTTGTTTGACCTATCCATCCAGAAGTAATGGAACATCATCTATTGCAGTTTTGTAACTTGAAGATTGGGTTTTGGGCACATTTGGTGTGTCACTGTCTATAACTACCCACAGAAGTGTAATACTTAACATGAGATATTTACTCTATAATGAATGATAGATCATGTTATTGACATGAAAACAGTTTTGGCAGTATGTGAAGCAAGAACCGTGGTCCGTTTCCTTTTAGACCAGCTTCTATAGCATCAAAGATCAGGGTTAACCAAAGGTCAAGATTAACAAAGCAAGCTACCTGGGTGAAACCTTCATCTAGATCCCTCTTTCTGTGTTAACAATTGTATTCTTCACCACACTTCACCAACCAAGCAGGTGTGTTTACCTTATGAAAACCAATTCAACATTTAGACATTACATTTCCTCATCTCACACAGGTCTAATTTAGTTTAGTTTAGATTATAGGTTAAAGGTGCATTGTGGAGAAATTGAGACGTGTCAAATTCATACTCCAAAAAAATAGGGGGCAGCGTATCACATATCAGGTGAGAAATACAGCTAACCGCCGTTAGTTCAGTTAGCCATGCTGCTAACTTAGCAGTCCTGTTAGCTGACTGAGGCAGGAACAATAGAACTGGACTGAACAGGGACCAACTCCAAGAACAACAGGCCAGTTTGATTACAGGGAATACAATACCAAGGTGATTTACAGTGCCTACGACCAGGACTCTGACTCCGGGGACAATGAAGACATGGTGGGTTCAGGGATGGACAGGAGAGGCGTCAAGCGGGAGAGGAGCAAGAGTCATGTTGCCAGTGTGACTAAAAAATTATTTGGAATGTTTTCATTGCATTAAAATATTTGCCTCATGCCATTTCTTGTGCTGTTTGACTCTTGTTTGTGTAAGTCCATAGCATCAAAAGTAACAGCAGATGTCAGTCCACTTTAAACAGTAGGTACGCACCACTAAACCAGCTCTTGCCCATACAGCCAGTGGGAAGGCGTGACATTGCAGGATCGACAATGACAACTACACTCATTACTGTAAGTGCAATAAAACTTTTGCGAGTAAAAAGGCCAATAGTTAATCAATACACCTGTTCAACAAGTATAAACATGTAGAAAGCGACTTTGCTGTCAAGAAACTCATTAAAATTGATGGTGGTGGTTCACTTTCTAATTTCCTCAAACACATATCCAGTCTAGTTAATGTAACGTTAATCTTGATTATTTGACCATTCAGGTGTTTCTTGTTTTTGTTGGACAGGAGAGCAGAGCAGCAGAGGAGAGGGGGCAGCACAAGAGCAACAACAACAGTTTTGGACGACAACTTAAACTTTATAAGGAATCAAACAGAAGTGTGAAACGTGAAATCTGCACATTTGTGACACACAATGAACCCCATATACAATCATCACCATGTACATCATACTATTTTTCTACAACTATTAATCTATTATGAAAACGTATTACTTGACACTCAGGCACCATGCTGAGTTTATTTTCACTACTGTAAGATAAGCATACAGGGATTACTGGAAGCTTGCAAGCCTTTTCCATGTATTAGTCTGTGTTTGTTGTAACTTTATCCTCTGGGGTCACACTGTATTGTGCAAAGAAATACAGACTTTGCTCACATCTATTCCCATGGCCAGACCACAGCCAAGCAATTCAGTCCATAACCTCATGACCTCCCCCATTAACTCGGCCTTCAGTCCACGGCCAAATGCTCCTTCAGCTGTTAAATATGACAGCTTCACTGGCCATAATAGCAGGTGGCCACGATATCTTCACTTAGTAACGTCTTTATTTCCCAATGCTGCTAAGAAATGCCATTGTTTGATTAAATTCTTTCACCCACACAGGGCTTCACACTCTTCTTCTTTCCATGAAGGTGGTCATCCTATCACATGACCGAGGCAAGGATCTGGATTAAACCTGGGAAACCAGAGCTAGCATATTTTCCCCACAGAGCCTCTCCTGAGCCCCACTGCCTCCTCTCTGTAGACTGATTTATGAAGCTTTGTTACATAACAACTCCATTTCCTAAGTAATCAAACCCAAACACTGTGCATGATCCTTTTAATTTAAAAGCAGCAGAAATGGGTTGTTCAGCTAATGTGGTCAGGAGTATTTCTGACTTTGTGGTGTCTTTCTCAATCAAACACTTACTGCAACAGTTGACAGATGTTCTCTACTGGCTCGGCACATTTCCAAATTAAGATTCATTCTCCAAACAGAAATACGAGTAAGAAAACTGAAATTAATTTCCCATTACTTAATTTTATTGAATGTGATCCTTAATTTGGTGTTGAAATGCTTTGCTTCATAGTTAGCAAAATGTCTGCCAACTTTGACATGATGAGACAAGATGATGACATGATGTGCGACAAATTTGGAAATATTGTGGTGCACTAACTTAACATCTCTAAAAAGCTTTATTTTCAAAACAGACCTTGCATATTATTGCTAACTTGACGTTAGATTGAGAGCATGCTGAAAACATTACCCTGCAGCGCCTAGACGAAGCAAAACGTGACATTGGTGTTATACCCGGGTTCATATAACACGGGTAACAGTCTACAGGTACGCTATTGACACTGTTTATGTTTGTGTACAGTAGTATTTGGAGCTTAATGCTAATATCAGCCTGCTAACATACTCACAGTGACAATGCTAACATGCTAATGTTTAGCAGGTAAAATGAAGAATGGCAGCATAAGCCATGTCAACAATGCCCCAAAACGACATTGTTATCCAGCAACAAAGTCTGTGTAGGGATGAGGTCGGGTTGGATGTACAGATACCAAATTTTAACATGGGAGAAATGGGGCTTCATTTGCCTTTTATTATTATAACCATGGTCCCCTAACCTTAATGTAGCTGGCTACTTACTTTAACAACGTATTCTGTCGTTTGATTTGAGGACTGGTTGACCGAAGTATTGGCCATCTTAAAACTGGAACCTGATGGTGGCGCAGCATGAAAAGACAGGGGATCACTAAAGATGTTAGAATTCATCCCGTGTATGACATGAATGTGCATCCCAAATGGAATGGCTCTAATCTAATCTAATCCAATACTTCTCGAGACATCAAAACCACAAATATCAACCTCAAGATGGCGCAAGAGGAAAAATCAGGGGCTCACCAAAGTCAGCAAGACACATCATCTGAGAACCATGAATGTCTATAGACAAATTGGTGCCAATCAATCTAGTAGTTGTTGAGATTTTTCAGTGTGGATCAAAGTAGAGGACTGACCTAGCAACATTGCCATCCCTTGCAGCTAAAACATTAATTAACTGGTTTTAGGTGAAACTGTGTTTGTTTTAAAAAATGAACCAGTACAAAGACGATACTGCCTCAATATTAAAAAAAAAAAAAAGTAGTGTTACATATTTTTAGGAGAGTGAAATGCCTCTTCTTATGTTATACAAACATTTAAATGTGATTCACCCTCCTGCTGGAGCTCAAAGATTCTGAGACATGTGTGTCCATGTATTGAGAGTGTGCTGACAGAGAAACCATATAAATCCCAGTTGTCCCCTAACAGAGAAAATGAGGAACCGCTTAAGACAGAATTTGGACTTCAACATCATGTCCAGTAAGATTTCAAATCTAAGGTTCTGCTGAACACTTTCACGCTCTGCACTGTACATGTAACCTCTGCAAATGAAAATTATCCCATTTAAAAACACCCCAAAGTGTCAGCTTCAGTCCAAATGTATCAGCATTAGGAATAAGAATATATCAGAAATGGCTTTCAAATCCTGTACTGGCCTAGTCCTTCCTGAAATGTTTTGAAGAACTGGTCACCAGTACAAATATAAAGTCTGAATCCACAGTGTACGACTAATAACAGACTGTCCACCTGCTATCGTGATAAGAAGTGCTGACAGCAGCAGACTGTGTTTAGTTTGTACTACACAGTGCTGCTGGGTTTATCGCCCCACCTCTTTCCCTTCCCCAAAATACTCTTCACTCTTTAAACAGCTGTCAGCTTTCCCTCACACTGTGAGAACTTATTATTAGGGCTCCTCCTGTATGGATCACTGAAGGCCAGTATGCTGCTATTTATAGACTATCATCTATACAGCTTTTTGGCCATCACAGGACACTGAAACTGACACCTCAGTGTCACCAACTAAATCCACAGACGTAAGATCATGTCACACACAGAGAGATATGTAGTGCTTCAGTAGAACTGGAAACGTGCCATACTATCAGATCAGCTTCAAGTCAGTCTGCTTAAAGCACCAGTATGTACAGTACCAAAATATTGAGTTTGCTACAAAGACCGTCAAAGTGTCCTTGGGCAAGACACTAAACCCCGGGTTGCTCCCTGGCCACTAGGGATGCACAGGCCAGGGCATTCCTAATTGCCAGTCCCAAGCCCAGATAAATGAGGACAGTTGCGTCAGGGAGGGCATGCGGCGTAAAACACCTAAGCCAAATCATATGCGGATCATCAGATCTCCATGCCCTGTTGGGCGGGGCCCGGTTAGAAACAGATGACCTGCTATGTGGAGCAGCCAAAAGAAGAAGGGTCTTGTGCTAACTTTAACTGAACATAGTGTTGAGGTTGTTCTGGAAGCATCTCACTAACCACTGCTGTCCCATCCTAGACCTAGAGGCCCTTAGACTACAGTCTAGGACCCACTGATGTGGAAAATGATATATAGTGGGCTTGGAGAATACCTTGTTTGGACACAAAACCTGGCTGTGTAATAATGACAACAACTAAAAGGCATTGATGAGGCTCGGCACCCCACTTACCCTGCTGCTAAAAGTATAATGCTGCCAAACACTTGAACACAGCTACAATTCTTAGAATTGGCAACCAAATTAGGTTGCCCACTTGATCAGACCACAAGATCTTAACATGCCTCTGCAAAAATCCACTATACATTTCCCCTTTTCCTTTTCCACTTGAGTGACAAAGCAAGAAGAAAAGCCTTAGCGGCATTCATTGCCTTAGGCGACATGCTGAACTCAGTGGTGGAAGAAGTCTTCCAATCCTTTACTTGAGTAAAAGTCGCATTAGGCTACAACAATGTAAGAATTTCTCTGTTATAAACAAAAGAGCTAAATTCAAAGTCTTACTTATGTAAAGGTATGGAAGAAGTATTATTTGTAAAAGTACTTATTATGCACTTAAAAGTGGATCATTATGCAGCATTTTACTGTTGGAGCTGGTCAAGCTGGAGCTAATTAAAGCTGCTCTATGTACTTTTGTGTAATTTAATCTGTAACAATGTGGGATATTTTATAAGATAGTCATGTGTTTTTATGTAAATGTTTAATGTGCAAAGTAAGTAGTAACTGTGGCTGTCTAATACATTTAGTGGAGTGAGTACATTGTAGCGGAATAGAAGTTGAAAAAGTACCCCAAACTTGGGTTAACTTCAGTTTGACCACTCTCAATTTGAATTGCAAATCAAGGCTGAGTTACACAACGCACTCATTGTTAACTTTTTTAATCAATTAGAAGGGGAAACGTAAATCCACAAGTGCATAATCCTCTACACATGCTGATGCACAAGCAAAAACTATACCATGTTGTCAGACAGATAAAGTCTATGACAATCAAAAAGAATAACGTGGGTGTTTAATTAGATTGTGCCACTGCTAATCAACAAGTGTTCCCTGCGCCTGAGGCACGCAATTCCCCTCAAGACCACTACAATATCACACCAATCTGCTTCACATTCAACAGCGCCCTCCATATCAGTATGTAAATGTACCTGGCCAGGTCTAAAAACGAGTCAGTGGTCTCCTTGTTGCTGCTGACGCTCTCCAGTCCCAGGCTGTTGGTGTTCAGGGCTCCTGCGCCCACGCCGGGTTTGATGATGAAGGCCAGGGCCACCCCGATCCCCGAGGCGATCAGCGTGGTCACAAGAAAGTAGGCGACTGCGATGCCCCCCAACTTGCCCAGGGAGCGGGTGTCCAGGCTGGCGGCGCCGGATATGAGGCTGCAGACGACCAAGGGCAGGATGATCATCTTCAGCATCCGGAGGAGCATCTCTCCGGGGAAGGCGAAGTAGGTCATCTGCGCCTTGGTCAGGTTCATGTTGCGGACCATCATCCCGAGCCCGACGCCCACCAGCACCCCGGACACCGTCATGATCACCAGCAGGTTCTTTCTCAGAAACTCCACCAGCTTCTCCCTGAAGCTCCTCTGCGCCCTCTTCTCCAGGATCCGGTCGGTAGAGGCCGAGCTGGGCATGGCATGCCCGTTGATCTCGCTCTTTTTCTCCATATTTTTCCTCTTCAGAGAAACGTGGGAAGCTGAGTCCGGTTCCAAAGCTGCCAGATGCACACACACGTTTGGCGCACGCACTCTGCTGTGAGAAGGATGGACCGGTGTGAGGGCTGAGCACAAGAGCGGAGAGAGAGCCAATGGAGAATGAGCGACGACACAAAAAAGCCAGTGGAACATGCGCACAAAAGCCGGTACAAATACCAAGAGCAAATGATGCAAGAGCGGGGAAGATTGCCGGGTTCTCTGGCAATGTGGCACACTGCCCTGTACTGACTGTAAACATGTGGTGATTAAAACACTAAGGACGACAGTTTCACAAAAATACTGCGCTCATCTATTTATTTACCTGGCTTTTCTCTTCCCCCTCCGTGTCCTGAGACTCTTGTAAAGATTAAGAACATTAAAAACAATTTAACTATCTTATCACCACGTGCTTAAGAATAACAAGGATTCGCCCTCATCCTGTCCCGTCTACACCCTGTCTATCTCTAAAATATCTTGCCGCTATAACGGACCAGTTTTGTAGTAGCCTACAACTTCTGTTCAGTGAAAGATTTATCAGGTCTCTTGTGAGTTTCTCTGTTCATAAGTGCACCAAGGTTTCCTCTGAATCAATCCAACATCCAACGCAGGGGCTTTGTCTTTCTCAGCAGTATCATATGATGAGATTAAGCATGGTGCTTTTCACAAACCTGTCAGGCCTGTCAGCAGGTTTTTGTGGCTGATAGCAAGGAAGAAAGGCTCATGATAAGCTATTGGCAACCTGATGTGTAAGAAACCTAGAGATGTAGACACTATGAGACACTATTTATCATGCTTAAATCATACATCCTTGCACTTTAGTAGGCTATTTTACAAGCATTTAACAATCCACGTGAGGTGAGATTTGGCCCTCAAACGGTCCTCAGACTGAGCATGATGGAAAGCAGAGGGCTGTCAGCACCATGGCCAGCGCTCTGTGCCTGCTAGATGGCGCTGTTGCTCGCTCTTTTTCACCCTTTAGGCAGTTCGTTTTGGAACAGGAGCACTGGAAGAAAGATGAATAAATATTTTAGGTAGAAGAAACTTCAAATAGTCATTATTCATCTCTGAGGTAAGGACTGAATTGCACATAATGTGCATTACATTTGTTCACATACTCATGTGAATCATTGTTGCACCTCTGATATTTTACCACGAGATGGCGCTATAATAAAGCTATTGTACACGTATTTACACAACAAACAAATGTTTTTGTAGTACATGACCATAGAAAAATAGGTAGCAATAAATACACTTCTGGCTCTGCTGGAAAGTTTTTAATGTTTAATGTTATTTTGGGAATTACTCCTATAATAAAGTACATAGTATTGCCTCTTTTTGTATGAAATGTGCTGTATAAATAAATGTTTATTAATAATAATAATAATAATAATAATAATAATAATAATAATAATAATAATAATAATAATAATAATAATGATAATGTTTCAAATAAATTAAAAATATATAAGACCACCAGTGCCTGCTATGGAGCCCCAAAAACAACAAAAGGCAGTCAAAGATTAACAGATGAGTCGGAATGTTAAAGGGGCACTCCAACAATTTGACACATCAATGTGTTTTTTTTCTATGCCTGCAAATGTGAAGAAAGTTGTGTAAAGCCTCCAGAGGGAGCTGTGTGAAATCTGAAGAATGTCCTCAAGCCTGGTCAGCTTCAGTTGGGGCTGAAGACTACAAGTTTGAAAATGAAAAAAACACTGGGGAGTTAGGAAGAAGTGAGCCTGCTCCTCATTTCAGCTTGAGGCCAGAGGCTGCAGGTTGCATTAGCCGCTACTAGAATAACATAACCCAATCTTTGATCCAAACTGTTGGTGGTCGAGTTGCATTGTTGCTCCAGTTTTTGACATCAATTTTGATCCTTTAAAAACATATTGTTGGATTGCATTGCTAAATTGGTGCAGTGCTCTTTTAAGGGGGAATTAAACATTTCTTCTTGCATTCCATTTTCATTATTGATTTGACATTATTATTTATTGATTATAATAAGTTAAATCTTTTACTGTCTGGCTTTTGTAGGTTTTTGGGGTTCCACATCTTTAACGTAACGTGACTATCATGTACTTGGAGGAATATAAGATATTTAGTAGGTTTTGTAACATATATAAAGGGTTTGGGGGAAAGAACAATCGGTAAAATCGGCTGTGGATTTTATAAAAGAATAGCCTAATCAAAAGACTGCCATGTTTTAAGTATCCACCTGCCATAAAGACCTGGTAATACAATAAAAGCAGCATCTAGATGAGGAGAAGCAGCCCTCTGTCTCATTGCCTCTGTTATTTACTGTCATCTGTGTTGTCCTCAGTGACCTTAGCTCTGCTGTTGCTAAGTTGAGCTAAACTTTCCCTCCCTCCACCAATAGAGACAGACTGTCCCCCTTCCCCTCACAGCTGTGTGGCCTGAATGCTGGAAATAACCAACAGCCTGTGGATCAGGAGTCATGGCTATTTAACAGTGGCAAATGTTGGCACTGTGCCGCAGTAAACTAGAAGAAAAAAACAAACACAGAGAAAGACATCGCTGAGCTTTATAATGGAGACTATCAAGCTGTTACACAGAGACATAATATCCAGAGCAAAAAATAAACCACCATTCCAGCAAGCTGGTACCAACACTTTATTAAAAATGTAATCTAATCCATTTTATGTGATGACATGAAAAGACTGGTTTCAACATGTCTACGGATTTTAAGCTTTTAGCAAATCATTTAATACCGTTAGAGATGACGCATTTCATGAGTTTAGAATGCGAAAGTCAGGTGACGTCATCGTCAGGTAACAATAAAAAAAGAGGGGTTTAACATTGAGAAGGTTTAGGCACCAAAAGTACTTGGTATGGTTCAGGAAAAGATCATACTTGGATTAAAATAAGACCTCATGAGTAAATGTCAAATAAACAAATGTTCAATAAATATTCAATAAATGTTTGATTTTATGTACACATACGAGAAATTTGACTCAGGATTGTGCATTGCTCACAATGTGCTTACTTATAAAATAATACAATAATACAATAATAAAGTCAGACACAGGCTACAGTATAAAGAACACATATATACACAAACAAAAACAATATAGACAGATTGAGACAATAGTGCAGTGAGCAGAGTGCAAAGGAAGCAGGAGTAAAATTATTATCATTATTATGTACATGTCGGAGTTGGATGAGATATACAGGCGCACATACACATACATGCATACATGTAGACATGTACACAGTGCGATGGAGCATGTTGCAAAGGATGCTGGAATAACTAAGCATTATGTGCAGGTGTTATTTACATGCGGTAGGTGGATTTCACTTGAATCATACACGAATTAGGACTTAACTTTTTTAATTAAGATGTTTATTTTGTTGAGGAAAAAGGACTGAAAAAAAGCTTTTGCTTAATTTTACACATGCATATTTGTTGACAAAGATTTTATCGTAATTGTTTTGAATGTTTTACCAGATTAGTTTGGCCTCAAATGTTGAAGAAGAGTTTAAACCACAATTAACCATCAGGTTTCTTACTCACTCTTTACTCGTACCGAAACTTTTTCTTGCACACCGGCACTTCTCACAAGCTGCCGGTACTTTCTACCCTCTCCACTGGTGGAGACAGAGTAAGGAAAAGATTGTGGGCCGATACACACACCAACATGTGAACACGTGAGAATGGGAAGTACTGGCACCACTTCAAGCACTGGTCACAGTGCTAACAAATGAATGCTGGTAACCCTGGAGTGCAGTCTAATCTAATCTAATATAGTCAAACAATTTATCTGCAATAGTATAGATACTTAACAAAATATAGTCTTGGCCAAAAATGTACCTTATCACCTCAAAATATTTTTTTCTCTTTATAATCTGAATGTGCCTGTTTTCAGCCTTGCCAACCACCATGCCTGATCACGGAGGAAGTAGATACGTACTGAAATGATCGCGACTCCTATCTTGTGTCTAATTGGTGGAATTGGTGATGTTCCAACTCTCCCCATGTTACAACCATACCCGGTCTCCCCTATAAGTTAACATAAGTAAAATAAGTCAATGTAGATTTTTGTTTAACATGGGACATGAACAGTGGTCTCCTAGGTGAAAGTCCTGTGTTTGTTTCTACATATGGGGACTTTTGTGTAAAATAACACGCCATCTCTGCACAATACAGCCTAAGTCTACCTTCTTATATACAGTCTAGGGTCATAATAAACTAAATGGTGTAATAAAAAGTGGTATCCACTACAACAGTTGCTATAACAAATTGAAACCTTTGTTATTTTGAAGTTAAACAACAATTACTTTGGTTTTGTCAATACTAATCATAAAGCTCACCCACACTCTCTTCCAAAGTCATTTTTTCTACTTTTTAGTTTTAGTAATATCTGCTGTTAGTGCATTTGCAATGCTCTGTTCTGCTGTTATTACAGATTTGTCTAAACACTTTTCAAAAGGCTGCTGTTCTTTTCGTAACATCCTGTATGTGAGCCACATAACATACTGCTGAGAAAGGGTCAGCTCTAAGGCTGCAATACCTGCACTGTTACAAATGTCAAAGGGATTCTGAATGAGGCTTTCTTACGTCTGAAACGGAACCTGGATGTTCCAGATTCACTTCGGCTCTCAACAGTGAAATTAGGATTGAATATGGTGATAAAAATGTGACAATCTTTCAAGTAGAATCATCAAGAATCATCAAGTGATTCAAATTCAATTAAGGGAAAGTTTAAAGCTTTATCATTCTTTGTACGCTTCATTCATTGTTTCATTAACAATATTATTTATTTATGTTATTTATAATTTTGACTCATCTGATAATCTTGTCAGTCTGGGGGCCCCATAGAAGACTACATTATAATCATTAATTTGGCAGTTGTGGAATAGGAACTGTTACATCTTTAAGCCTGGAGGCATTTCCCTCTAAAAGAACCTACTAGTCATGAAAGATTCACTTATCTTTCTTTAGACAACCATGAACAATTGAATATGATTTAATAATTTCATGGGAGTCTCATGCAAATTGTTTGTTCACATAGTTTTCTCTTAATTGAGGGAAAGGGGATAACCATGGTATAGACCATAGACTGTATAAACCAGGGGTTCTCCAACTCGGCGGCGGG